GAAAATATTTTTATTCGTTTAATATTTTACACATCAAATCGTGGTTCCATCTGGTATAATATACAAACAGGTACAAAGTTTGATAGTTATCTTACCTAATATTGCCTCAGAAGTGGGTGAAGGACGTTCTCTGTAAATTGTTATTCTCATGCACTTTATTCTTTTTTTTTAGTATAAGAACAGAAAATTTTTATTTAGTTATTAAATTAAATTTTCACTTTATAAAAAATTAGTGACTACTAAATTTAGTTGAAAATAGAATTGGGAATAAATAAGAGTTTATTGACTGCCAGCTATAAAGACCAGAATAGAAAAATTAAATTTTTTCATATTTTCTAAAATTAAAAAATTTTGTTATTCTATTTAATACCGAAAATTCCGTATTTATTTTTATACCCACAAATCCACGGGAAGAAAGTTTTCGTAAAAGCTTGCAGTCGACACGTTTTTTATAAAATATAAAATTTTTGCAATTATTTTACAACTAATGAAAATAATTTTTTGTAAAGTAAATTAGAGATATTAACATCTGTAGCCCTTTAACGTCCAATGTTTTTTTTATTTAAATTTTATGAAACTTGGTACCTTGGGGTTTTCAGGGTCGTTAATTACAAATTTGATGCCAGATTTTCAAATTTCAAAATGACGCATCCAATATGGCGGACCGAAATTTGAAAATTTAATGAATTTTGTTGAAAATTAGAATCAAGGTGTTTTAGGGGTCGCTGGTTATGAATTTGATATCAGATTTTCAAAATTCAAGATGGCGGATCCAGCATATCGAACCAAAATTTTTAGATTTGATGGATTTCTATAGAAGTTGGTATCTAGGGTTTTTTGGTGTTACTGATTACGAATCTGATGTCGAATTTTTAAAATTCAAACCTCCCGCTCAGATTATCTCACGTGCCGGAAAAATACCAGGCTAATGGGCGCGAACCAAGTACCCTTGGTCCTAAGCGTCCGCCGAGCCAGGTACTTATCTGATCGAGCTAATCTGTCGGTTGTGTTATGAATATAATTTTATAGTTAAAATAATGTTTCTAATCGATGTGATTTCCATCACGTAACTCCATAACTTCAAAACAATTTACAACGCTCTAGATAGATATACACCCTTAACAAATATGTCTGTTGAGAAGTTACTCCCTATGGTCGTTTAGAGGGAGTATAATAATATAATATATAATATAATCTATAGCATATCGTAGATGGTGACAGAATAATGACCCAGCACAAATTTAGTCAAATTATTAATTAATATTTTGTCAAAACCGTATCTCATCACGTATCATATCGGGTACTGTGTTTACTATAGTACAAAGGCTGCTAACTCATTCTCTAGTTCATTGAACACCTGTTTTCTTGGGCAGAAATTTTCTTTTGTAAATTCTTTTGTTGTCAGAAGGGATTTTCATTCCCCTCATATTGGTGGTTGGAAAATTGTATGCTGAGCTGCAGGCGATTTATTGATCTGAATGTGGCGAGTTGCTTTATCACCTCAGGCGATGATTTGAAGAGTCAAAGGGGATTGGATAGATCTCTCCTATATCGAGAGTTTCTGAGGAAGTTTTGAAATACTCCTTGGACAATTCGGAAGATGGGCCACGAATCATAACTTCGGCATGCTCCCTCGGGAGATCAGCGTGTGTAAATGCGTATGAGGAGGACTTGCACTGTAAAAAGCACTAGGTGCTGCCATAAAAATCATTACATGCAATCCTTCTTTGCATATTGCTTAGTAGAGAAGAAAACTTTAAAAAACTACATTTTCTTCTTGATGAACTTTATCCTGTTACTGTTATTCATGACGAGTTTCGCTTTGATTTTAAATTGGAAGCCTTTTCTACAAACACTACAATTCATCTGTCTTTTCTCCTTAATTCCTTAACTCTCTGAAGCATTCGATTCAGAAGAGAAGCCCCTCTGTGAATAAAATGCAATATGGAAAGGTACATTTAATCAAGGCGCACCTGGGTTAAATAAATCTATCATCGCTTCTCGTAAAGGGCAACTAACTATGGCTGCTCTAGTGGAAGGTTGCCTAGTATGCCTAGTTTCCTTTAATCTCCATCTCCGGTGAACTGAGGCGCCCCGCTTTTACCTGAGGTGACGACATCAGGCCATACTCTTATCATATGGTGCTCCTAGGAGTAGAGATTGTACCCATTAGCTTCATATTTTCACGTTACCGCGTCGGGCAAGAATTTCGATAGCATCTGAGATTTGAATTAACTCCTATGTTCTCCTTGGTTAATTCATAGAAAGTGCGTGCCACGGTCATCATCGAACTCGCGTAATGTGGAAACTTATTCTAGAACGGTTTTGCGAATATGAATAAATCCCTCCACCGAAATGCAAGCAGAAGCGTGTAATTACACAGGTTTACAAATTAAAAACTTTTTTTTGCCAATCGAACAAAACAATTTTTTTTCGAATAGTAGGTGTTTTTTAAGTAAGAAAATCATAGTTTTAATTTTTTTCCCTCGTGCAGTTTTTCTGTAGCTTTAAATTTTGCATTTTCGAGGTGCGACGCCACTTAAACTTACCTGTAGGAAAATTAGCTTGTCAAAATATAATAAATGAGGTATCATTGGAAAGGTTATTAAATTACCTTTCGATCCATAGGTCACAGAATAAAATTCAATAAAAATTGAGAGAGTTACAGTCGATTAAAGATGAAATTTCATGACAATTTTGATGATTTTTAGACATTTGAGTAACTTCTACTATTTTTTTCTACATCAAACAGGAAAGAATGTTTAGGTTTTAATTTTTTTATTGATGGACTATATCATTACACAAATTTTGAGCCCTTGTGGACCTCGATTGGATTAAAAATGACAATTCTACACTAAATTTAGTGAAGGAAACTACATTCTTCATTTTTAGTATCCCTTAAACATTTGCAGCAAAAATTGAAGTAATAAAATTTGGTTAAGTGCTAAAGTTACTAAAATCACTAATAAAGGATTTCTGAAATCGTAGATTTCGAATCCAATGTTAGTTTTCTAAATTTCAAAATGGCGGATCCAATATGGCGGACAAGTTTTTAAAAATCGATTAAATTCGTCTTAAATTCGTTACTCGGGGGTTTTCGGGGTCGCTGATTACGAATATGATGTCAGATTTGAAAAATTAAAAATGGCGGATCCAATAGGTGCAAATTCGATGGATTTTAAAAAACTCGTTCACCATTATGAATCCATCCTTTTCAATTTTCGAAATCCGACATCAGATTCGTAATCAGCGACCCCGAAAACCCCCGAGTAACGAATTTAAGACGAATTTAATCGATTTTTAAAAACTTGTCCGCCATATTGGATCCGCCATTTTGAAATTTAGAAAACTAACATTGGATTCGAAATCTACGATTTCAGAAATCCTTTATTAGTGATTTTAGTAACTTTAGCACTTAACCAAATTTTATTACTTCAATTTTTGCTGCAAATGTTTAAGGGATACTAAAAATGAAGAATGTAGTTTCCTTCACTAAATTTAGTGTAGAATTGTCATTTTTAATCCAATCGAGGTCCACAAGGGCTCAAAATTTGTGTAATGATATAGTCCATCAATAAAAAAATTAAAACCTAAACATTCTTTCCTGTTTGATGTAGAAAAAAATAGTAGAAGTTACTCAAATGTCTAAAAATCATCAAAATTGTCATGAAATTTCATCTTTAATCGACTGTAACTCTCTCAATTTTTATTGAATTTTATTCTGTGACCTATGGATCGAAAGGTAATTTAATAACCTTTCCAATGATACCTCATTTATTATATTTTAACAAGCTAATTTTCCTACAGGTAAGTTTAAGTGGCGTCGCACCTCGAAAATGCAAAATTTAAAGCTACAGAAAAACTGCACGAGGGAAAAAAATTAAAACTATGATTTTCTTACTCAAAAAACACCTACTATTCGAAAAAAAATTGTTTTGTTTGATTGACAATTTCACTGTAAACCAGTGTTAACTGTATATAATTTACTGTAGACAAAGAATCGATTTAACCCTGTAAATACCGATAATTATCAGCATTAGTATTATGTGTTTAAATTAATTTCTGTCATTCATATTTTTATAATTGTTTAATATTTTTTTAATATAGTTGATTTATTTACTTTCGAAGGTTTAAATTTGGACTCGTTATTGACTACACCAGCCTCTCCTCGAATTCACAGCAGAAATCATAATTACATAAATCTAAGATGGCGTTTCACGCCACTAATTATCAGTTAAAAGAAACTAATACTATAGGTACCCGGACTCCATCCGGTGAGCAAATTCCCAGCAATTAAAAATCTTATCATTAAATACCCTTCTCCTCCTTTAAGAAACAGTTAATTTAATACCAATCAGATGCCTAGGCATGGTAAAGACACCTTTTGTACACTGCCTGCCAAGACTCGGTTTCTTAGGTCCCTTTCTTCATACCGCATGTGGCAAAGTTCGCGAGACTTTAATATTTTTGAAAATTAAATGAATGAGGATAAGGGTTCGGCTCACAATAGTCGACCGTAGGGTTGATAAATGAAATCTTCACGTATAAAAATATGATTTACTTGCAGTTCTAAAGAAATGAGCAGTTGCAAAATAGTTGACTGACGAGACCAATAGGCAAGAAGAAGATGAAATTGAGCGAACTTACCAAATGATGATCATTGAATGGTAGCTCAAATATTCTCATGTTAATGAAATTCCTAGTGATAGGAACAAAGACACAATAAAACAGAAATAAATAAAAAAGAAAATATTTAATTAACAATAATGCGCGTTACAGCGATGCAAAGAATGCACTGCAGCGCATTAAGCACATACATCGCGGTATTTAGCGTTTACAGAAAGAGATCTATCAGATCTCTTCGATGTACGAAGGCATGCTTCTCTCTGATGACAATTTTCACGTAATCATCATCGAAACCATAAGACCATTCGTCTTTGATTCCCTTAAACGACTTAATTAGAAAGTCTTTTAAGAAGTAATATTATTATTTGTTCTAGATAATAATGTGGCTCAAGGTCATTTCGTCGACAGTGAAGGAGAGTGGCTGCGCTGGTGGATGAACATAAGCAGAAAAGATTGCCTAGTGTGCAATCTATCCCCAGCCAGCTACAACTTACCTGATGCTGACGAAGCTGATGCTCAGTGAACCTAGTGATTCAGGTCAGGGCGAATCGGACCGCAATGGAAATGGGATCGGTGGCATGTATCCGACCGCTTATAATGTGGACGGGTTCAGCTTCGATACCGATGTCCCTACTTTTATGTCGACCATGTCAACAGCGGCGACATCAACAACGGCCGCAGATTGCACCGGAACGAGTGTCGTCGGCAGCAAAGAAGTCCGCTATGCACCTTTCTCTCAAATTCTACCTCCCTTACCGACCCCAATTCCGCCTCTTGTCCCGCCACCTCCTACATCATCATCCCCGCCCCCGCCACCGTTTCTGCCGCTACAAATGCAGCAACGCACCTATTCCCGATCCATGACTTCCTTACCCCCTGAGCCTTTCATGATTATGCGGTCAAAGGCCTTGAATAGAAGAGTTTCAATAAATGTTGGAGGTGTGAAGCATGAAGTTCTCTGGCGTACATTAGAACGATTACCACACACTCGACTGGGTCGCCTTCGAGACTGCAATACCCATGAGGCCATTACCGAGCTCTGTGATGACTATTCTCTCGTCGACAATGAGTACTTCTTCGATCGTCATCCAAAGTCCTTTAGTTCTATTCTTAACTTTTACAGGACTGGTAAGCTTCATTTAGTCGACGAGATGTGCGTCCTTGCCTTCAGCGACGATCTTGAGTACTGGGGAGTAGATGAACTCTATCTGGAGAGCTGCTGTCAACATAAGTATCATCAACGAAAAGAGCATGTACATGAAGAAATGAGGAAAGAAGCCGAGTCGCTGAGGCAACGAGAAGAAGAAGAATTTGGTGAGGGTAAATGTGCCCAATATCAAAAATGGCTGTGGGACTTGCTCGAAAAACCGACTACGTCCATAGCTGCCAGGGTAAGTAAAAATCTATTAGATGACTATTTCTTCATCAGATTAATGTGTGCTTTAACAAAAAGGTTAAGCTAATACTCGTCACTAATTAAAAAGAAATATGTTCTAACTAAAAGGAATAATTTTTATCTTCAATTTTAACATTTAGCAGCATAATAAAAATTCTTAAGGAACTTCCAACAAAAATTTCAGTAGATACATGATATTCAAATTTTTTATTATATTAGAAAAATTGTTGTAAATCTATCAATGCTAATGAAACGGAAAAGATTTAAGAGAATTGAGACCATGTTAAACAATCATATATTACTGAGCTGGGTAACTTTACATCTCTAGTCGAGTTTTTAATGATGTTCCATAAAGATTTTTATATGAAAATTTATGTTAAGAATTATTTTTAAATTAATCTGCATTGGAATACTTACAATTATCTATTACTATCGAAATTTTTAGAAAATAATCTTTAATAGAAAAAGGAATAATTATCGTCTCTTGGCATACTATTATCACAATGGGCACGGGGGACATTGATTGTCTTGGGACGATTGTATACAATCCTTAAAATGTTCATATCTTTTTAAACAACTTTGTATATTCTTTTCGATGTAACTTTATACAACTTATGTACAAAAAGACTCTTTTATAATATTAAATGTCTTTAAGATGTCTTTTGAAAAGATATGAATTTTCTAGAGACAACTCATGTTTCAGTGCCTACTAGGTTGTAATATATGAATAAGAGCAATTTTTCTCTCAGAAGTCAATACTAGATCATTAGTTTTATATATGCATTACAAGATATTAAGAAAATACTAAAGAACATTATAATATTCACTAAATTTGGTTTAATTGTTTGAAAATTATATTTACAAAATATCATACTTACAGTTCGCGCGGGATATATTCGATCAAAGGTATTTGTTGACTAATAGGTAATATAATAGGTAGTATACATGCAAGATACCTTTGTTGATTTAACTTATGAAGTAATTATAAGTAATTATGAGAGTTTTTAGACAAATCACATTTTATGTAACTTTTGAAACTCACTTAAAGGGTGTTGAAAACAACTTAAACATGCAAAATGATTTGTACAATTTGAATTTTTTGTTTACACAGATTCTTTAAATCCACCCCAATGCTCACGAATACAAAAGGTTTTCTTTATGACGTCTTGAGGTCATTGTTACACTTTCAATGAGAAAATGGATATTAAGGTCATGTTATTCAGTGGTCACGTGCCCCATATACTTTACTATGGAAAAACTTCACACTGAATAACATGACCTTAAGGGGTTAGACCACCCTGAGTGCAAGAAAATAAGACTCTCGGGAATAAATATTTTTTTAAATAACTACTAGGGTTGGAACTTTCAAGTTTTTATTAGAGTGACTGACATATATTTAGTTTTAAAAAAATATTATATTTTCAACAAAAAAATTAAAATTATTGAAGATACAGGGTTTTTTGTGAGGCACTTGTCGCTTGACATTCCTTGATGGTGGGCATGATTCAGCTGTTAATTTTTAACTAAAACAAAGAAACAGAATTGTTTTAAGTTGACTAAATTATTTACAGACTCCATTGTCATTTATTTCATTTTTGTGATTTATAAATTCAGTAAAAAGTTTTTCCGTATAATGGTGTTTAGAAAAAAGGTTTCGGAACATACATTTTTTGAACCACTATGAATTCAAAAGAATATCTGCAAATATTGTGCAAACTCACTGTTTGCAGACATTCCTTAAAATCTACAAATTGTTTTACTTATATTTCTTTAACTTTTTGATTTTTAAAATCCATTCATTCACCTATGTCAATTAAAATCTTCAGTAAAATAACTACAATTTATTGTCCATGGCAATGTGTTTAACTTATTTACAACACCTTTAATGAGATTAAGTATAATATTTAAAATTAAAGTATTTTTAGATATCCAGAATTTTAAAAGACATCTTGCAAGTATTTGAAATGGGTATACACTTTAGAAGGCAAGAAGTTTTTCAGCATGTAGATATAGAATAACGTAATTTTTAGGGTCTTTAGAGGATATGTACAAAGTAGGATACCAAAAGTATTTTTAAGATGATATTTTATGTTAAAAGAATTAAAATTTTACGTAGAAAAACTTAAATTGACGCACCTGATTCCTGGTTTTATTTTAAAAAATCAATCAAAATATATATGCATGTAATAGGCTATTCCAAATTTTTTTATTTTTCTTAAAAAATTATTAATAAATTCCCTAAGTATTGAAAATTTCTTGGAAATATCTTACATGGGATACTGCTTCAGATTTTTTCAAAAGACCCTTCAAAAGAATCCTTAAGGGTCTTTACATAGGATCCTTAGAAAATCTTCTATTCGTTGCACAAAATTAAGAGCAAAATTATAATAAATAATTTTTCTGTTGTTAAATAAACAAATATTAAAAGAAACTATGAAGTAAGAAACAATAAATAAGTAAGATAGTAATCGAAATATTAATTAGAAATAGTCTACCTATTTCTATGCATTCGAGATTTGCTGATTATCGAGTCCGTCAATCCACTAATGGGAATGTGTCACTTTAATCACTTAAATAAAGGAGAATTTCCCGATTTCTCCCTAGCAACACTTCGAGGATAACTGCGCCTGTGCCATTCTCTCCACATCCGCTTTTTCTACCAAAAGGAAATTACCAAGTTACCCAAAGTATCCTTAAATAATTTTGCAATCGTTACCTCTTCTTTTGGTTTTTAGGGACGCTGATTACAAATTTAATGGCATATTTTAAACATTCAAAATGGCGGATCCAATATGGCGGACGAGTTTTATAAAAATTTATCAGAATCATTTTAAACTGGTAACTCGAGGGATTTTGGGGTCGCTAATTACGAAACTAATGTCAATTTAAAAAAATTTAATATTGTGGATCCAAGATGGCTGACGAGTTCTGTAAAAATTTATTACAATCATTTAAATTATGTTTTCAACAATAACTCAATAATAATTATAATCATCTATTCACATCAATTTATCAATAATGGAAGCAATGAATAATTTTATAGTCAAATACTTAACAATATAATTTTGGGAAAAAATTATACAATTTAGGGGGATTTCAATAAAGTTAAAATAACTTGCCACAATATAACATTCAGAACGTAAAATCTTAAATAAGTAACATTATATACGTAATCAACAACCCTAAAAACCCTTGAGTAACCAGTTAAAAATGACTCTGATAAATTTTTACAAAACTCGTCCGCCATATTGGATCGGCCATTTTGATTTTTTAAAATCTGACATCATATTCGTAATCAGTGCTCCCAAAAATCCCCGATTAGCAAGTTTTTGTCGATATTAGTGACTTAAAAAAATTCCGGCACCATTTTCATTTCCTGAAGAGGAAATTATTTAGATTTCGAAATAGCGAAGCAAGACTTTTATTAGACACCACTTGTTCGAATGTATTCGTTTTAGAATTTTCCCACAATTTGAATGAATTCAACTCGAACATTCAAAATTCACTTATTATTAATTAAGGGACATTTTTCATAAAAATTCAACGGTAAAATAACAAAAAATTAGTTCACAAATTGTGCAATAGAATAAAATTAGAATAATTTTTTAAGAAAAATAAAATTTTTCTTGCCTACTTTATAATAAATATACATGCATACATATTGGATATAATACACATACCTATATTCAAAATATTTTTAATATAATGTACAGCAGCTTGATTTAATCAATAAACAACCAGTATTATTGTTATTTGCTCTACTTATATGTAAAAATGTTATTTATATTATATATTTCTAGTTTAATTAAGTATTTGAATTATTAATAAGTACTGCAATTAAAGAAAACAAATCTGGTGCTACAATTGAACATGATTAGCATGTGGAAGAAAGTAGGGTAATAGCTATCAAAAGGTCGTGTGGGTGTTTTACGAGTGGCTAATAATAAAAGAGAAAAACGAATTGGAGGTCGAGAACTGAAAAGAAGAAAACTCAAAAGTTACAAGTGATACTAAACCGATACAGGATTGTTGTTTCACAAAAAAAAGTTATTTTATGATCTATAAAAGAAATTGCGATAAGATACCACAAAATTTTAATAAAGCACACATTAAACAATATACTTATACACATGTAACAAATTAACAGGTGTCAAGGATATAAATTCTTTTTCTGAATTTTTATTTGAATTTCACATTTAAAATATTTACTTTCTTTTATTTAATAAAATTAAATGTACTTTTTGTAAGAAAGTACAGTTTTTACTTTTGCATTAAATTAACAGGTTTATAATTTTTGACATAACATCTTAATAATACATGAAAATACATACATCCATACATACATATACTCATACTAAGATTTATCACTTACATTACAAAATACTTACAATGAAAAGAACTAAAATTAATTTACCCATATTTAAAAAAAATTTTTAATTATTTATTATATTTTATCCCGGAAATTAGCTATTACTTTTAATACTCTTTAATTGGACAGAGCAGATAATTAATTTTTTTTATTGTAAAATACAATTTGTATTCTTAAAGAAATCTCTATGAAAACAAAACTTTTTTTGTTAAGATTGTTAATTCTTTCGAAACAATGCTTTTTCAACTTTTGTATTCCAAACAATAATTTCTTTAGAAATGGGTGACGTTGAAAACATGTCATTGTAAACAAGTAATTGATTCACCTATATTTTTTCTAGTTTCTTTTGAAAACATAGGCAGATAAAAATGACTTTAATTCTACAGATGGAAATAAAAATAAAAGGGAATTTCTGGAATTAATTTTTTTTATTGTTTTTATATTAAAATTATTATATAAAAATAATAGACAGCTCTAAATTTTTTTTTCAAAATGGTTTTCTTTAGCAAATTTTCCGTAAGGATTGTATTATATTTTATATAAAATGGAGAAAATACTTCTTTAAGGCTGCAATGTAAAACATCTTTACTTTTTAGATTTCATGTAAAATCATTCAACAAAATCATTTCTTAGCTGGAAGATGTTTAATAGAATTCATCCACAAAAGTTATTCAGAAATTTTATTGAATGTTTCCTTAATAATATTTGCAGTTAATTTTATCTTCCTCAGATGAATAAAACTGTACAAACTACACATTCATTCTCATATGTAATGTTTTATACAGACTAATATAAAAAATTACTGTTGAAATAGTTGTGGATTTTGTACAACTTCTCTTTGGAATGTCGTAGAATCGTTCCGCGTAGAATTTCATTTGTTTGAAACTAAATCTGTTACATAAATATTAAAGTAACAATAGTATTGTTTTAGTTGCTTTTAATCTAGTTTAAGGATTAGAAATACTTTTCATTTGAATACCATTAAAATGGCCTGTTGTTACTAGCAACATTGTAATCAGTTAAAAATTTACTAATATATTATTCTAATGGAACCAATAGGAAACTGGTTATTCATCGTCTAAATGAAGATGACATAGTACTGTCAAAAGGTTAACAATTGATGTCAAGGTCTCTTACAATATTTAATTTTGAATAATTAGAAAAATTAAAAGTAAAGTGCTATTGTGTAGAAAAAATTATATGACTTTAATCAGATCCTTTATTTCTAGGTGGTGTTAATGTACATTTGACTTTATTGCATAGGGTTTAATCTCTGCATGCAATTTGAAGTAAATTAAATATTTTTGACGAAAATGGGAATAATTATATGCGATTACCAGGTATCACATTGGTCCCTTCTCGACACCGCTCCCATCGAAAAATGTGAATGTTTATAATAAATATTAGTCTTTACGTATTTGATGAAAAAACTTATTCTTTAATTATTCATGAAAAATAAATTCTTAAATAATTTTTAAAATTTAATTTAGAAAGTTGAAGAGAGTTTAAATTTTAATAAATTGTTTGACATTAACTCTTGAAATATTGTTAGATGGTAAAGCAAAGTATCGATTTTATAGAACTATATTTAAACCATAGCTTTCTCGATCGATAACAAAACTGCTTGAGAAACCAGGTTGATAATATTAGATAACCTATGCATTTAGGTATACTTACCAATGATTATGTCTCATAAGCATAAAAACTAGAGCATTCATGCATGTAAGGGTCACTACTTAAGCTGTCTTATTACTAAAAACTCCTTGAACCCACTTTATATTAGAAAAAAATGGGTGATTTGGTAATTCTATATTTACATTTTAAATCCATTGAAAACAAATTTTTTTAATTCTTCATGTAAATTCTAAGTACTCACTCAGACATTGCTTTATGGTTGCCTACTGATTGGAATCTACAACACTGCTATTGTGACTTATTGCACATTCTTTTAAATTTCAACTCTTGCAGAATAAAATTACTAACAATTTGTAACGGCCAAAAGCAGTAAACTTGCAGCAAGCTTGAGAATCTGCTGTTAGCTTGCACTGTAACTTTCCAGGCTAGTTACCATTAACTTAAAGTTGATATTACACTGATATTATGATGGTCAGTGTAACTTTGATAAGTGAGTTTATTTACATAGTTTTATCTCTAACTTTGGTGTTTTAGCGGAAATTAATTTTTTAAGAGTATATTATGAACACACAATCGAATCAAATAAAATTGTATCGTAATAGTTATTTGAAATTTCAAGTTTAGGATCAGGTGAAAAATTACAATATTTATTTATGAATAATAACATATTTCCGTTTGAACCTTATCATTAATTATAAACAAAATTCGCCTATAACATTAACTTGTCAAATTTTAAATGTTTTGATGTTAGAACCTTAAATAATTTATAATTTCAAACATTTGTAGCATTTAGAAAAGAAAGTTAAAGTTGTTCGTCTAGGGGTAATAACTTTTAAAGTCTATAAGCCAAAACTTTAAGAGTGAATGGTTAGGTCAATGAACTAATATGTTATTTAGTATCTACTACTACAATATGTTTCTAATTCAAAAACTTTTTTTGCATAAGACAGTTTAGTAGTACAGCTCTTTATATGTATGGAGCACTCTGTTTCAAATTGTTCTACCAGCTAAAGACGACCGCAAGGAAAGCACTTTTTAAATAAAATTAAAAATATAAAAATTAAATTGTTTATAATATATTTATATATATTTAATTTACTATTTTTACTCTTCATTCAATTTCAAATTAGTCTTTATATTTTTTTTAAAAACTGTCAAGTACATAAAGAAATTTCTGAGTTTGAATTATAAGTCACTTAATATCTCAAAGACCCTCACCCTTAAATTTTCTTAAAACTTATCTAAAATCAAAACTTAATGTTTGTGGTTTCTAGCTCCAATTTATTTATTTTGCACATTTTAAATAATTTACAGAGAAAAATTAAATAAATTTTGAATTCTAACAATTTGACTAGAGGTATAAATTTGTATTCTAACACATGCAACACAAGTTTTCATGTTTGTGATGTTGTTTGGAATACTTACAGAATTCAATAAAATAATAAATAACAAAACAAACAGAATAATGAATAATTTTATTAATTTTATTGTAAAAATGCTCTCTTTGAGGTCGTCTTTTGTTGGTGGAACTATTTGAAATAGAAACTTCTGTACGTCATACGAAAATTCAAATTTCCGGAAGCTACAGGATATTCTAAAGATATCTGTTACACCTCTAAAGTATCAGGATGGTGTTAGGGCAGCTGTTATCATTAAAAAGAGAGTGAATAAAATATAATTTTCTTAAACTTAAAATAAAAGACTTATACATTATTTTTATGAGATTTAAAAACAATAGTGTATAATGCTTTTTCTAGTTTTAGATTAAGCTAAAGCAATAATCTTCTGTGATGTTTGTAATTTTAATAAATAGTTAAAAAAACCAACTGAAATGTAAATCTGATTTATTGTAAAGTGGAAATTTAAAAAAAATAACCTTTTGTCTTTATAAAAATGCTCCGTCATTGATGTTTAAATAATAATTAATTTTGTAAACAAATATATTGAAATAAAAAGATGTACTGCATGAAACAAAATTATTTTTTAAAATTTATTTTAATTGTTAATAAATATTCTTTTATATCGAAATATTTGTTTGTCACGATTAGTAATTATAAGCTTTATTGATGAATAATTGTTTGAATTTAGTTTCTATGAGGAAGTTCATAATACATGTTAAAAGCATAAACTGAAAAATGTCAAGTTCGAAAAGAAAATGTGACTGTCAAAACTGGATTTACTATAAATATGGAGAATCTACATATCATTAATGGCTTATGAGTGCGAGATGGAGAAACCAAATGCATGCTTTGCTATGATAATGAAGCTTTTCTAACGGTATAAGTCAAAATGCTTAACGCATAGTACTAAGTGTTTGCTCCATGAGAATATTTTACTGTTATATTGAGGGAACTGTAATCTTTAGAAAATAATTGACAATAATATTAAGATATTATTAGAAAGAAATTTATTAGATAGAAATTATTGTGAAATATTCCGTCAATATCAATATGCAATATTATCATGGGGTGGATATTTTAAGTTTACCAGAACGTCAATGTAATAATCCAAACAAATATTACCATGACATTCAGCTAATGCTTCAATTAGTCAGGAATGAAAAAGTTCATTATTTTAAATTTAATTGCTTATTTTGTACTACTTTGTTGACAACAAATATGTTTTCTGCGAAAGAGACTAAGAAATAAATTTTGTAGTTTTTAAGCAACGTTTTACTAACAGTAATACTTTCTGTATTTTATAGGAGCTATATTTAAATAATTTTAAAAAACTTTATTTTTACATAAACAATTTATTAAAATTTAAAACTAAACAGGGAGCGGGGTTTGGAAGGATAATTATTAAAATGTGTGATTGATTGTATGATTGTTGTGTGATTGGTTTGTATGATATGTGTTACTTGTAGGATAGTAACACCTTGTTTTCTGAAGAAACAGAGAGTCTATATCAATAGATTGACTTTCACTTCTTTGAATAATTTGCTAATTTTAGTGTTTAGTGTCCAATGTGTTGCATAAATACAATTTATTGTTTGCAACACAGTGGACACTTACAAGGCACCCCCTCAAAAGCATAAAAATTTATTTAATATTTTTGCGACTACTCAATTGAGTGTATCCTTCTAAAATATATTTAGAAGAAGGTAGAAAATAGTTATAAATTAGTTAAAAAGGTTACTAGTCTTCTTCTTTCAAAGCTGATAAAATAGCTTGGAATAAAAATAATTGTACGATTCATATTCAAATTTTTGAAAAAATTTGTCTTCGAAAAATACTGCAATAATTAAATATCAATATTATGAAAATTATAACTTTATTTTCATATTGGTCTCTGCAAATAGCATTTAGTAATAGTCTACCAAATTGCGTGAATTTGCAGGTGATAGCTGTGATATCAATACTCTTTATAGTGCTTTCAACGATTGCACTTACTCTCAACACCATTCCTAGTATGCAAGTAGATGAGAAGGGAAACCTTCAAGATAATCCACAACTCGCAATGGTGGAAGCTGTATGCATCACATGGTTCACTCTGGAGTATGTGTTGAGATTCAGCGCATCGCCGGATAAATGGAAATTCTTCAAAGGCGGACTGAATGTTATAGATCTACTAGCTATTATGCCTTACTTCGTATCCCTCTTCCTTGTGGAGACCAACAAAAACGCTACCGACCAGTTCCAAGATGTGCGCCGGGTCGTGCAGATCTTCCGGATTATGAGGATCCTGCGAATCCTGAAGCTGGCTCGTCATTCGACAGGACTGCAGAGTTTAGGTTTTACGCTCCGTAATTCATATAAGGAGTTAGGCCTACTCATGTTGTTCCTGGCGATGGGGGTGCTTATCTTCTCTAGCTTAGCGTATTTTGCTGAGAAAGATGAGCAAGGCACTAAATTCATAAGCATTCCGGAGACGTTCTGGTGGGCAGGTATCACCATGACGACCGTTGGGTATGGTGACATTTACCCAACAACTCCCCTTGGTAAAGTGATTGGCAGTGTGTGTTGCATTTGTGGTGTCCTGGTAATTGCGTTACCCATTCCTATTATCGTCAATAATTTTGCTGAATTCTACAAAAACCAGATGAGGAGAGAGAAAGCACTTAAGCGTCGCGAAGCACTCGAGAGGGCTAAAAGAGAGGGCAGCATCGTGTCCTTTCATCATATCAATCTGAGGGATGCGTTCGCAAAGAGCATGGACCTCATCGATGTGATAGTTGATACTGGTAAGATTTTGTACGAGTAATCCCTGCTTTGTTCTCAGGTGAATTGTGAGAACTAAACCACTATAACAATTGTGGTTTTTCGTTTATCTGTTTTCTGGCTAACAGTATTTTAAAATATCTGTCTTTCTTTCAGTTTCTTCTACGCCTGAGTGCAGGTTAAGAAGCTGGCCTATCTCAATCTAGTATTTAGCAAAATATTCAGTAATAATTGTTTTATGACAAACAGAAAACAGAGTTTTAAGACATTTATCAATGCCATACAAGAACACTTGTAGGATAAACATATCACAATGCTGTTAACTTAATACATAATTTTTTCAGAAATTTGTTTTTACTGTTGGGATACTTAACCAAAAGTATTTCAGAACAAATTGGTTAGAAGTGTATTGGAACGTTTGTTTTCTTTACATTAGAATAAATTTAAAAGAATATTAAATTAATTAATTATTAATTGAATAATTAAAGAAATTTATGTAGCAATCACATAATTATTTCTCTCCCGTTTAATAACATGGATGTAGCTTATTCTGTAAAACGTACATTACCAATTTATAATCCAACTTTAAAACAATTTCATTAAATCTTTTAAAACATAATATAAAATCATCATATTGAAGATAGATAGATTAATTTATAATTAGTAGAATTTTAAACTTTCGATAATAGTAAAAGAATACCCTGTGTATGATCTTCGATCTGCAAGGTACCCAGTCTAATCTGCGTATACAAATATTTTTTTTATTCTTCCATATTGAATTGAGTTGAAAGTTCTTGAATGTATGCAGCTTGCGACTTAGTAGCGTGGTCTGTATAAACGCAGTAATATGTTTTATTAGGAGTAAAGTCGATGTTAACCAATGTTTATTTAACCTCTTATTCCACCTGTTTGTTTTAAGCTATAGATTGCTTTGTTCAACTTGGAGACTTTGTTGTATTCTTTGTGTTTTAGAGTAAATAGATGCAAATGTAGACGTGATGGATATTTCAATTGGCTTTAGCCAATTCATAATGGTCCAGATGTTGTTTTCTAAAATGCTCATGCTTTCATCTATGATGGCGTATTACCATTCTCCATTCTGTGGTCCCTCAATGTACAGCCTGATGTAATCAGTAAGTCAAAGGAATTAATGAATCTATCGTCAAAGTAGATAACTTTTTTCAAAATATATTGGCGATATCCCTTTGAATGTTTTGAAATGACGTACGTTGGGACGTTTTCCGTGAATAGCTTCAAAAGCAATTATTTCATCTATGAAGAGATGCAGAAATGCTTCGATTTCTTACAAAATTTAAATACACTTGATAACCTCGTCAGTCTGTTTTTTCGAATATAAATAGGATGTCCTTGAAATATCCTACTTCTGGGAATCCTAATAGTGATCCCTAGGACATTCACAGGATATCCTGTATATGTGGATGCTGTCAGGGTTACATCTATTGAGGTATTTTTAAATCAGTGTTTTTCAAAACACAGACAATTCTCATTATAGCTTACAAACATTAAGTCAATTTAACCTTTTCGTTTTTCTCGAGTATGTACAATCTGTTTAAAATTCTGAAATCTAAAATTTAGATTACATTATAGCTGTATCCGGAATTTCGAATTTTCCCAAGATGTCGATTTGGAATATCCTACACTCATGTATCAATAGTTATCTCAAGGATGCTCATAAGATATTCTAAACATCCAGATACCTTGATAGAATAAACTAACTCTCCCTTTTGAAAGTTGCAATTCGAACATTTATTTGGACGCTTTCGATTATTTTTAAGAAATAAATATTTACGATAAATACTCTAAATAGGCAATATGACGACAAAATTTGTGATCAAAATGACAACTTTCTATTTATGAACAAAAAACTTAAACTATTCAGGATTACAATTTCCGAGTATAAGAATCTGAATTGTTATGAACTAAAGCAGACTTCTGACAAATACATTTTTGAATATTCCGTAACAATTTCTAGTATAAAAATATGCCGCCCTCATAGTACATATTATATCCTAAATATTTCAGAAATATTTTAGTACAAAGTATCTGAAATGTTGGCACAATGAGTAAAATGTCGTTATCTCTCTATCTCTCTCAGAAGCATGAACTCTCTTCTGCCATTGCTCTAAATCATTCCTTTGGGCCGTAACCACCTGTAGGAAAAGATTCGGAAACTCTCGCTGTCAATCGTCACCATTTGTAACTCTTCATGCGCTATTCATTAATCTCACAATTACCGAATGATACTATGGGTGTTTCCGACGTTCACGCTGACAATGCTCTAAAAATGTCAAACGTGGTAGGTTGATGAGTAAATTGGTGAATTTTGATTGGCTAAAACTAAATTGACAGTTTTCGTGCTCGGTTTTCACGCTCAGTCATTTAAAACCAAGCATCAAATGATAGCATGAAAAAAACTGATAATTTAGATTCTAGCCAATAAAAATCCACAATTTCACTCATTTACCAACCACGTTTGCCATTTTCACAGAACTGATAGAGTAAACATCGGAAATACCATTGTGGGGGGAGAAAAAAGACACTATTTATTCGACTTCTTTAAAGATTTTGATAAAATTGACCATATTACTTTGAGTGCTATGCTCTCAGCTCTAGGTTTTGCTCAAGATATGCTCAGTTGGACCAGAAGTTATTAAATGTAGCATTTATGTAATTTATTTTCTTCTTTTCTATAATATTTCAATGTGGCTGCATAGTTTGGTTCTATTTGGGCAAACAGTTTACTTACTGTAACAACAATTATGTCTTCTTGCATTGAAATATTTCGAATATGTGAATAGGAAATTTCTAAAATATTCAGGATATATTATGTACTTTGTAGGCTTACTGGGTCTGAATTATTACAATTTGGGTTTGGACTAATTGTATACAAATTTTGGACTTTTTCAAAGTCATTTCGGATTTGTGTCTTTCTGTGCGGACTGAATTCGGACATTTTCGGATTAGTTTCGAACTGTTGTTCATGAAATTCCCGTGTTAATTTGGACTAATCTATCCAAAATTAATCCGGAATTTTAAAGAGAACAGTTTCTTTATAACCTAGACCAAAATGCCTAATGCCTAGGAATTTCAGGTATGAAGACTAATATTATAAGATACCTTAATTCTGTTATCGATATAATTTATTTCTAATACAAAATTTTCCAGGAAATATTATTTGTTTCGTACTATTTAAATTACATTCATTTCTTAACAATTCAAGTCTAAATTGTTTTACTATAATTTACAATTTAGATAGAATGTTGTTATAATAATAAAGAAGTTTATAGATGAACTACCAAAAGAGTGAAAATTTGGAAGCCATGCCAACATTTTTAAATGGTTTAAAATTATATAATAAAATAAATATTTTCGATTTAAAAAATAAATAAATTAATTAATTCGATTAATATACTATTTGAAAAGATTTGCAAATTCATGAGTTTTCTAGATGTTGCAAATATTTTCTAAATTGATTTTTAATTTATTTTGTTTCTAGTAATCCTCATTTTACGTCTATTTGATAAAATTATTTATTAAGAACTGTTAAATTACTATTTTTCAGTGACACTTATTTTTTTCAAAAGAGTAGAATTACAAATGGAATACTTATATGTTTAAATAATTCTAAAGAACTATGTTGGTATGCTTCACAAAATTTTGACTCAGAAAAAAGTTAAGAAATTCATGTCAATTTTTAATTTACAGGGCATAACCTGTCTGGTGTCGATGGAAACAGTACGGAAGGAGAATCTGGTTGTGATAGAGGTCCATCTCAAACGGGTGCTGGTTGTTATAAAAACTACGAGCATTATGTTACCTTATCAAATAAACGGACTAGCAATTCTACCTGCTTTCCGACTCTGCCAAATGATTTTGGAACAACACCTGACAGTCCAAATAGGCGGCTACTTGATTTTGCTCAAAACATATCTACAAATCAGAGTGAGAATTTCTTCCATGATCAAGTGTCAGCACATCAGTTGAATCAAGGAATTGCTACACCTAGTGTAAGTTTTAGAATTTCTATCTCCTTTAGATTTTTCATTTAATAATGTTGAATTCAAACCTATAACTCTAACACTGTGCTTTATTAATATAAATAAAACTTTATATTTCCATTCTGGAAAATATCCGATAAAATTGATATTTTTGAATTAAGGACAAGTTTAAGTCATGGCCGTTATATACATATAGGCGATTCTATACATAGCATACAATTAAATGTCCCTCGTGTTTTTTAAGAAATCATTTGCAGAACTTTTAATGAATCGAACTGGAAAAACTAATTTCCATGCTGATAAATAAAAGCCTATTGATAATGCTTACTTCTTTACGTTAAATATAAATAAATAGGATAAATATCTCCCTTAGTGAGAGAGCTGATACCTCACAAAGGTATAGCAGACTTTTCTGGGGACTTTACACAACTGTTGAAGAAAATCTGCTGCCCTGCACGGAAGAGAAGCCTTCTAACATTTTTGTTCTTAATTCTTGATTGCTCTAGTATATATATTTTTATAAATTACCACAAAAATTTTCACAAATAACTACAATTTTCATAACTTATCTAAACAACTACTTTTTTACGCCAAAAATTGTCTACACTGTAATGTTGGGTTTATAATAATGGGATCGATTTCACAAAGCGACGAAAGATTTATTTAATTTTATCACTTCTTCTTTTACTATCTCTTTAATTCAAATGTTTTATCACTGAATTATTAATTTATGTACAAAACCAAAAGTTTGAACGGTATATTAACTTACTTACATCAAAGAAACCATATTCCCTACCATCCCAAATAAAAAAGTCTACAAAGTGTCTGCAAACTTTCTACGAACCTTAAAAGGTTTTCTGTCCCTCCAAAAAGTTATGCGGTTAAAAAGGTAAATAATTTTTGAAATAAAAGATTTTTATTTTTTTGGAACCACCAAACTTTCTGAAGATAAGAGTCCGCTAAAGGTCCGCAGATAGTTTGAAAACATCCGGTTGACTTTTTTACTGGAAATACTGAATGAGAAGGAAGAAGATCCTCATTCAATATTAATTTCCTTATTCATGCGGGAAACATTGTTTGCTTAATTGCATGTATTGTTTTGTGAATTCATTGTTAAATACACTTAATTGCCTACTCATTAAATTATCAGGTCATATGCAGTTTATAATATTGAAATTAATTGCTCTTTATTCGTTGAGAAAAATATTAAATATTTAAAGTAATAATTGCAAAATTCAAAATGTCGGAACTAATATGGCTGACGCTTTTTTAATAAGTCGACGATTTCACGGGCAATTGTTACTTGGTGTTTTTAAAGTCGCTGATTACAAATCTAATACTGTTTTGCGTTCTGCAAGGGTTGTTAACATAAACTTTACGACCGAATAGTTAAAAACCGTTTATACTAAACCTTCTATTCACCTACGGAAGGTAACCTTTAGGCTTCAAACTTTGCAGATGAATGGTTTCTTATTGTTGTTTGCGCGACGCTACCGTGCTTCTCTTGTTCTGCCTTATTTTCTCCGCGTCCTGGACAAAGTCTTCTTTGCTTACTCTGGGGCAGTTCTGAAGACTTTGCAACTTCCTAACCCTGTGGCGTTGTTAGTTTTCTCTTTCCAGTCAAACTTCTTTTTGCTTAAAAGCAGCATGGACTCTTCTTGCAATCTGCTATCTCGTGGTTGGATTCTCCACACTTAAAGCACACAGCTGACCTATTTACGTATTGACATTTTTTATCTATATGGCCGTAATTAAGGCATTTATGGCATCTCACGACCATAATTCTCATCCTAACTGGACAAGACACAAAGCCAACCCTTATGTGGTCGAGATTTTCCAGTTTATGTGCATCTTGCTGTGTGGCTACTACAATAGCAAGCTTCACACTTTGCTTATTAGGTTCTAAGACATTCACTTTTCTGCAACCTACTGGCATAGTCGAAACCCTATCCAGAGACTCCTGGATATCTGCTGATTCTGTAAAATAATCCATATCTCGGATCTCCAAAGTGTTGGTCGGTCTACAAACTGCACTTTACTTAGGTCACCAATCACCCTTGTCACCTTCCTGGTGAAGGAGAAATGCACCAAACACAGTTTAATTATATTTCAATGCCAAACCAGAAAAAAATCCTTTCAAGTTTTAAAAGTCTTTTTAAAGCGGAAGAATAGTACTTTCAGATGGTGTTTTGAACTACTAGAGAGAAACCAGTTTTTCAAAACTTCTATGTTAGAATATCGCAGGACTTTAACGTCATGAGGCAATTTTAAACTCAGTTCCGAATTTAGTACGTTAAAAACCTTCAGAGAATTTTTGTCCATTGTTTAATTCTGAGATTCGTCAAAATTTTGTCAGCATAAGGTAAATACCTTGTGTTTCTATTTGGGACTCTTAATTTGAAGGATTTAAATAATTGGAAACAACAATTGAGATGATATGAATTATTCTAATTTCCTATTTACCTTCTTTCCGAATCTTGTGAGTCTGACAAATCTTGTAGAAGGGCGATATGTCGATGAATCGAAGGGCACGTAGAATTATCGCGAAGAAGCAATTCATACTTGTTTTTACTAAAACAAGTGAAAGTCATTTATTAGAAGATTCTATCAATTTTTAGTGTAAAATTATGATTAGTGAACTTAAGGAAGGATCCTACTTTATACTGTCAGAAAAATCGAATAATTGTTTAAATCTTCAGTTAGTATATTTGAGAGTACATAATCTAAAGTAGGTCTCCTGAAAAAGTACTGAGGTCTTTATGGTGTCGGAATTGACAATTAAAGAAATAATGATGTCATTAATTTGGAACCTCAAAATATTCGAATTTTACAATCATTTCAAATAAACTCATGTAATATTCCAAGAAGTTATTTTTTTCCGTCTCAAAAAAACATTTTTCAATTAAGGTTTATATTCTGTATTTTAGAGTCTAGGTTTATTGGACAATCATACTGAATTCTGAACAGTTCTGAAACCATTGTAGTTTCGTTTACATCTTTGATAAAAAGTATAAGATTAATGAATCTACCAGAGAGGATTGGAAAAATGGACTAGCAACCATCCCAACAAATTGTGATGTCTGGTATGCAGATGAATCAAAAAGGGAAATTGAAGCCAGTGCAGGAGTCTATCATATAACATCTCAAATGGTCCACTCGTATAATTTAGGGTCCACTATTATGCCAAACGTTGCTATGTACTTTTCTGTTAGTGGTGCTACAACTGTCTGATACTCAGGTGATTTCACTTTCTAAACTGTAGGCTATCTGTACTAACGCTAAAGAACGTTCAGATTCCTCAAAACGGGGCATCAGAAGACCCTTACATGATCTCAGAGTTCACAAACCGTGGCTTCACATTAGAACCGTAAATAATATTTTTTCAGGAATTCTTAAACCCCGAACTTCTCTTAGTGTAGCAAGGCAGCAACCGGTAGATGCAAGTATAACCATTTGACTTGCTTTTAAAAACAGTGCATCTATAATAAGAAAAGTTGTCTGCAAAAATCAATTCGTAAGCAAGATTTTCGCAAAAAATTCGTATTTGCGACAGAGAAGGAGAGCCACTGTTGAAGGCAAAAGTTTTACGACAGTTCTGAAAATGAACCTTTATAAGAAGGGTTACTGGTTTTAGTGTGCTTGGTCTGACAGCAGATTGCTAGCGATGTTAGTTATAATGTTTTATTTGTCTCCTAAAAGCATCTGGATATTCAGGATGCCCTAAGGATATCCGGAAACTATTATATCCGTATGATGTCTCAGGGATTTCCTAAGATACCTTAAGGATATCCAAATTTCTGGATGTAACTAGGACGTCCGTAAGATATCTTTGAATATCCGTTGCTTTTAGGGTTTATTCATTTACTTTTTTCTTTTATATCAATCTTACATAATATTAAAGTGCGGAATCCAAGGCATTTATAATCAGATTTCCCAAAAATATCTATGCACAAAAAACATGCACTTGCTGGCTTGCATTTTAAATTATTTCACAATCAATTAGTTTGCATCATTATTATTTTCAATAAAGCGATGTTGACTCAATGCCTTTGAATGTTTAAAATGATTTTTAAAAGTCTTTTTATTAATCATTGTACTTGACAAGAATATTAAATACTAATTCTTAAAATTTACTGAAGAATTATTAAAAAACTCATCTGGTTGCTTTTGAGTTAAAATAAGTCGACTTTTAAAAAAAATTGGAGCACCTTTTGTCGCAAAGGAATTAGTATAAAAGGTTACTGTATTTTTCTCAAAAAAAAATTTTTTGTGGTTTAAAGTTCAAGATCGCCTAGTCAAATAATTAATTTTACTAATTTTATTTCTGACTAATAAATTCGAAATTGACAACTTACACCATTTTAAGGACTTTGCACTGAAATATTTCCATCAATCACTGAAATATTTAGTAGAAAAAATGTCTTCTTTATTAAACATATTACATTAGAAAGCACAATATCCTGTCACTTTTGCTTATTATTTATTATTCACGTTTAGGCATTTTTTAAAGATACTTCAAATTGTTTTTAAAAAATTAAGTCGTAGAAACTGTTGTAAATCATAAAAATGTATTATCAAAATTAGATTTAGTGGCTTTCACAATTCCCTAGTAACAAGTTTCAATCTTATCCACATAAGTAAAAAAATTAATATTTTTCTTTAAGTATATTTTTTACGTCTTCGATTAATCCTCGACATCAGAAACACCCGAATATGTGGAATTAATTTTAACAGATTTCAAGAGGGGGCACTTTTTACATACTTTTTCCCCTATACCCTTTTGAGGCTTGAAAAGATATAACTCATGAAGAAACAGGTGTATTAATAAGGTAACACCCTACAGCTGTGGAATATAATGATACATGACTTGCAAACTTATAGCGCATAAAAACTGTGTTGTAAGTGATAGTAAGCTATAATTTACTTTTTCACCGCTATTAATGTTATATCATTGTTAGATAAATACAGTATTGAAAAATCACTCTATTTAGAAAAATATTTGACCATGC